TGTCCCATTGTTCGTCTGACTATTGGACGTAGAAGAGTTTCCATGCATGGGAAACAGACCTGTTAGAAGAGGAGACATTGCGCCAGATGAAAGAGCCAATTGCAGGGTACTCAGATCATCAGCGCCACTATTAGTGAACGACGAAAGATCGACTAAATCATTTAGGGTGGAAGGACGACCAGGCACAACTCGTAGGTTATTACCACTAATATTGTGGAGAGAAACCTTAGTGTTATCAAACTCAGATGTTGGAACACCCAGACTGAACCCGTTTGTGTTTAGAAAATCTTCGCCCACACTTCGTCTATTAGACCTAGTGCAGTCTAATATAGGAGAAGAATGTTTGCCTTGCTTGATATTTTGAAGGTCCAAAGCCAACGTATCACAGTTGCTAGATGAATTGTTAGTGCAGCATTTAACCCCTAGCATATTACCATCCAAAGGATCACTAGCCGACGATGCACACGAGCTCGATATTGTTGCGGAAAGCCGGTTATCCGAAAAGACCAAGCTTCCTGTAATTCCGTCGACTAGTGAGGAAGCAGAGGATATGCCTTGATCTAGCAGAGATATTGAACCACCACTTGTAACGTGACCAATTAGGGGGATAGGAGACAGTTGGCTTGACGATGGAGAAACAATACTAGAAGAATCGATGGAATTAACTCTGCCAACTCCAGGATCGCTTTCGATTCCCTCGGAACGATTTCCCTTACCGTTGCTAATAGATCTTGAATCGTTGTCTCCAGTCAGAGCACAAGTCGCCGTCATGTGTTTGCCTCCCAAATTGTTTTCGCCCTTGAACAAAAGTGTATCGGGTTCTGATAAAAGAGCAGATTCTAAGCAGGCTACTTCTGTCTTGCAAATTGGAGCATTAATGAAAGAAGATTGAGCTGTGTTAAGCGGAAGTGTTCCAACTTCGGCGCTCATCTAATAAGTATAACGAAAAATAGGAGATACAAACGTAATCAATGTTGATCAAACTGGAAGTCTGAGCAGAAGGAGAGAAATTATAACACAGGCCCACTAACCGTGTAAACCAACAACCGACCAGGTTATCACCCTGGTAATGGCCAGTTTAAAAAATTAACGAAAAATACCCGTTGGTTTAACCTATTCAAACACAAATAAGCATAAAATGGTATTAATTATTATACTTATAAATTTATTCACTTTTTACTTGAAATTAATTAAAATCTTGAGGTATTATTATTATTTTATTACTGACCTTAATTGTTTAGCTTTGGATTACAAAAAATAAGATGATATCCATTATTCTTCCAGAGACCTATTAAAAGTGAAAAGCGCCATCCATTTTGTAAAATTTTAATCTAATTTTTAAATGCTCAAAAGAACGCCGTATAAGATAAGTTCCTCAAAGTAACTATTATAATAGTAAACCGATTCATCTTAGCTCGCTTGTGTTAATGTAAAGACTAATGGGTAGATTACTCCCAATCACCTTGGCATAATACCTTCTAATCCCAAGGTATAGGAACTATATGTACTTAAAATTAATGTAGCTGTGCCTCCAGAAAATACTTTTTGATAGATGCCCAAACGGAGTCTAGGCCCCACCAAGGAGTCCAATGAGATTCAAAGCTCAGTTGTGTGTTGGAAGCGTCTGCACTAGCACCACATCTCAGTCAAATTTACTAGTGGCTTACAAATTGAGTATAAACTTCACGTTGATCTATGTCTCTTAATGCAAATTTGTAGTTTTACTGTAATTTAAATTGAAATTGTGTATTTTTATTTATAAAATATCGTTTAAATAATTTCGAATGTGCTTAAGATCATCGGTGAATTTTGAATGTTAACCTGGCATAAATTTGGCAAAAGATAGTCGATCTAAAGGTGATTTCATACTTAGTCTTCATAGCTATGATGAGATAGATAATATTTCCCATTCAGCTAATTAGTCAAGGGAATTGGTGTTTAAGGAGTTCCTGTATATATTTAATGAAATCCCTTCTTAAAGTTTCAGTATTTGCTCATCTTTTTCCCCACTAAATCTGCTTAGCCCCTGAAGGCATATCTTATTGTAAAAAATTGGCATAACACAGCTAACTTAAGAATGGTATATATCAAATGTATCTTCCTTTCTCTGGCTAGTAGGTAACGAGGGAATATTTTAAAGCAATATACTTTTACTCGGGAATTTGCTTGGTCTGTGAAAACTTCTTTGGAACGGAGACGTCTGTTAGTATGTGCGCTGGCTCTCTCTGAGAAGAGTATGCCCTTAGGAGTCATTCTCAGTACTCCATTTCTTTGATCAATAAACTTTTAAATGCTTTATGGCTAAGTCGATTTGAAACCTGAGTAGGAAAGACTGCGCTCACATAGCATTTGAGCCCAAACAAAGTTCTTCGACGACTAGAACATTAAGTCATTGTCTATTATGGTGGAAATTTATTTTATAACTCGTGGAAAAGTGACTCTGCCCTCCCTTCGACTTTAAAAATAAAGTGATTTAAATATACACTGGCTACGCTACGCATCACATCGTATAAATGAACAGGTTTTTAAATCCTCATCCTCTCCTGAACGTCCGAAACCACCTCTACTCCACAAATTTAGACTCGCCATCTTTAAATCTAGCAGTAATACCCTACAAGGAATAATTTTTCCAGAATTTAATTGATACTATTATGAAGTAAATCAAGGATAATTGAAGATATGAAGACAAAAATAGTGTGGTCTCTGGTATGGTCACAGAGGGTAAAGAGTAGATAGATAGGCCATGACAGGAAGATGAGTAATTATGTAACCGTTTTTGGCAGAACTTTGGTGGAAGGATTGACTTCACTTGTCTCTTTGATGAGTTCGTAGCTTGGTGCCGAGAATGGCAAAACTCACTGATAATGCCGACTACGATGCCGGCGAAACATTTGAGAATGTACCAAGTCCACTGTCTGATGCTGGGAATTACGACAACTACTATGGCAGACGTCTTAGGACTAGGTGAGTTTTATTAAGTCCCCTTGACAACTAGACCAAGTTGTGACAACGAGGTCAATCCACTTCTGATGGATAATTATTCTCAAGAAATATTATTTTGAGCCGATCCTGTTTATTATCACAATTGTCTTTATCGGCTAGTCTTATGCTCCGGATAATCATATATTTTAAAACTCCAACCTTTTTTTGCAACTATAGTTGGAGTAGAAATTAAGGATAAATCCAGCATGCGTTGGCTTTCTATATTCATCTCTGTTCAACTTCTCCTCTTCTCTGTTCACTAACACGTCTAAAAACGTTTAACTTTTGTCCTCTCTCTCTTGTCAACTTGACGTTGCAATCCAGTTATTTTAGCATCCAAATACTCTTAAAAGCGTCACCCCTTTCAGTGGGTAAATTTTATTTCTTAAATGTTTTAGGAGATCCACAGACTAATTTAAGATAGAGGTGATAATAAAATATCTAAAAGTTAAACCCCAAATATTTGTGAAAACTCTTGATAGTCGCAAAAATATTTGGGCATATATATTGGTAAAATTATAGCCTTTAATTGAAATATTGTGACGATTAGTAAGGATGATCATTAGTATTACTTTCCTAAACATGTTTATTGCTTATAAGCATCACGATAGATATTTGACGAATAACGTTAGGTATGTCGATGCTTAAACAATCGCTAAGTCGAATCTTTCAAGTTAAACAAGCACATGCGAGGTAGGAAGTAAAATGCTATTAATTGACAGCACAAGTCATTGGGAAATTCGGTAATCATACTTTGAATACAAATCAAGCATTGAGAAAAATTAATCACTGATTTTCTCGTATTCCGTCAAATTAGGTAGAGAATAGTCGAATTAAAGAGGCGGATAAATAGTTAGTTCATATTTGCATAAAATTATTATAATATTTTGTTTACAT